CTGGATCAGTTTGACAGAAGATTGCAGGTGACGGAGAGTCATTGAGCCTGAAGAGAGTCCAGTGGAAGTTATATACTCTAAATAAAATGGAGAGGAAAGAAAGTTGAAAAATAGGAACAGGGCCTCAGACATGTGGGACAGTATCAAGTGGTCCCACACAGCTATAATTGGGATCTCAGAAGGAGAAGAGGCAGACAAAAAAATTGTAAAAATCGTGGCCTTAAACTTCCTAAATTGCAAAGCCTCTATGCTAACACTACAAAATATTGCTGAGAGAAATGGAAAAAGATTTAAACAAATGAAAGTATATACTGTGTGTATGGGTTGGAAGATGATTATGGTTACGATGTCGGTTTTCCTCAAATTAAACAGTAGATTCAATACAGTTGCTATTATGATCCCAGCAGACTTTATTATTTAATCGATAAGATGATTGTAAAGCTTATGTGGTAACACAAAGGACCTTAGAATAGTCTAAACATCTCATAAAAGAACAAAGCTAGAGGATTTAAATGACCTGATTTTAAGACTTTGTATAAAATGAATCAAGACAGAGTGGTATTGGCATAAGGATGGAATGGACTAGAGAATTCCAAAACAGACCCACACTTCCGTGATCATTTGCTTTTTGTCAAAGGGATCTGAGCTGCCCAGTGGGAAAAAGTATTCAACAATTTGATCTGAAACCTGGGTATCCCTGTGGGAAAAAAATGGACCCCAGTCTCTACCTCACACACAAAAGCCTTTGAGATGGACAAGAGGCCTAAACATAAGCACTGGAACTATATAGGTCTTGGAAGAAAATATACAAAAAAAACGTTTGCAACCTGGACGAAAGCAAAGATTTCTTACACAGGACAAGGTCAGGACACCATACAAGAAACATTTGACCAGTGAGGCTTCGTTAAAATGAAAAATGAATTCTTACCAAAAGACACCATTCCGAAAACAAGTAGCCAAAGCCAGAGACTGGAAAAAAGTTCACAAAACATATCTGAAAAAAGGACTTTTATCCAGAATATATACAGAACTAGAATTCAGTAAGAAAAAGACAGGCAATGACTTTTCAGAAATGGATAAGGCCTTCCGCAAAAGAAGATGCATTAATGTCTGAAAGCTCATGGGAATTCCTGCACGTCATCAGCCACCACAGAAATGCCAATGAAGCCACACTGACGCCTCCCTAGACACCCAGTGCAGCAGTGACAGTTGGGAAGACCAGCAGTCACCGGGGCTGAAGAGAACCGGGAATAGCGGGGACTCGTGTCCAAGGCTGGTGGGGACGCAAATGCTGCAGCCGCTTGGAAATACGCCGGCAGCCGCCGATGGCGTTAAACACCCCTCCCCCCACCCCAGCCCTGACCCAGCACTTCCACGCCTCGTGGCGTTTCATTTCTAGAGGAAATGAGAGCAGACGTATGTACGTACACACACACACACACGCGCGTGCACACACGCACACGCACACATGCACACGCACGCACACACACATGCACATGTACACACGCACGCACGCACGCACACGGCGGCAGGAGCAGCTCTGATTTACAGCAACCCAAACCTGGAGGCAGCCCATGTTTATCAAGAGAAGACTGGATGACAAGCGTGGGTGTTGTCTCAAAGACGTGATGGTGGGGAAAGAAACCAGACACAAAAGTGACCGTGACACACAATGCCATTCCTGTGGCGCTCTAGAACCGACAAAAGTAATCTATGGTGAACGGTCAGGAGGGCGGTTGCTGGGCGAGGGGACGGGACTGGTCAGGAAGGAGAGGGACGCTTAGCGACACGAGAATGTTGTGTAACGTGGTGGCTGCACATGGGCATCCATTGGCCAGAATGGTACAGCTAAGCTGCTGCTTGATCTGCAGGTAAACCTTAGCAAAAGCATGGTGACAAACCTCTGGCAGGCATCCTGCCCGTGCTTGAAACGCATCTAAGGTGCCCAACAGGTGTCTGTGTTTGTCTAGATGGGGCTGACTTATAGGTTGCAGCAGGAAGAGGGAGGCGGAGAAGGGACTTGAGCCCTCGGACACCTTGTCTAGGACCTGACCTTCTCTTGGGGCCTCAGCGTCTTTCTGGTCCCACCTGCCCAGGAAGCGTCTGGACCCCTTCTGGCCTTCACTGCCCGCTGCCTCCTTAAAAATACCGCAGCTCCCCTTTGGGCTCGGGCTGGGGCTGGTGCCTGCCTCCCCCATGATCAGTAGATTGCCTCTAGTCTGTCTCTGAACCCCTCAGTGCTGACTTCAGAGCTCAGCCTGTCATTGAGTCCTGAGCGAGTGTGCATGGTGGCCAGTGCCCCTGAGTGGGAGCAGGGGAACAGGAGTACGTCCCCCAGAGGACCCCTAAGACCTGGGCAAGTGCCTGGCATTGTGCATCCGGGCCTCCCCCGTCTGTGCGACGGGGGCTGTGGGCTCGTGTGGGAGGCACTGCTGCTGGTGGACTGGAGGTGGGGCTGCATGGAAGTCTTTGCTGAAAAGGAGTCTGAGGTGGGTGGGACAGAGTCCTGGGGTCACTCAGAATGTCCCTACCCCCCTCCCCGAAGCGGGGCTCTTGTGCTGGCAATTTGGGGTCCTTGTACCAGATGACTTTGAGGACCCCTTCTGAGCCTACTTTTCATCATTTTTATTCATTTCATCAGCTCTTAGAATGTTTAATTGTCAGGGTCCCCCAGCCCCCCCCACTTCCTTCCACCTGCCCTCCAGAGCAGAGCCGCTGTCTGTCTCCAGACGGTATGAGTGGCCTCATCTGCATCTGAGCTGTCTGATTTAACAGCCTGAAAGCTCCCCCGTCTCCTCTGTTCCACACCGTCACAGTTCTCAGCAGTGGCTTTGTCACCAGCCCTGCTCTGCTGTATGACAAAAATCTGGGTGGCTGGCACTTGCTGAAAAGAGCACCTGCAGGGACTTCCCTGGACCCCCAGTACCCTGGTGGGCAGAGTCGTGGAGCTGTTTCCTTTGGGACAGTGTCTGGAGAGGCGAGGAGCAGTGACTGACCATTCCCAAGGCCCACTGGGGAATGGACCCCTGAGATGGTAAGAGGACCCATGAGTCACTGACACCTCCCTCCCTTCCCGGTGGTTCCGAGTGGCGCCTCCATCACCATCTAGGCTCTGCTGTGCTCCCCAGTGTGAGTCCCAAGACTGCCCACGTGCAGGCAGATGTCTTCCAGGGGAGGGCGGATGGGAGAGGAGAGACCCAGGATGGGCCAGGGCCGCGCTGTCCCCTCAGCCGCGGTGTGTGTTTCCATCTGAGCTCTCCACCTCCGAGGGTGTGTGAGGTTAAAACAGAAACGCTTTTCAAGCGCCTGGCATGCACATTGGCGCAGCAAGGTCACCGGCGGTGGGTGGCTCTCGTGGAGTGGAACAGAGGTCCTTTCGCCGGCCCAGCAGCGTGCTCAGTCCTGCCAGCTTTCACCCTCTCACCCGGAGTGCAGCTGCCTCTCCTTCCCTGGCTCATGGCTGCCTGTGGGGGTTTCCTCAGGATGGGAGCTGGCGCCTCCCCCCCCCCACACTCCCACCCCATGGAGGTCCAGATGCATCTGCCCACAGTCCCAGTGTGGCTGCGTCCCACAGGGGCGGTGCCCAGCGATTTGGCGAGACCCCCTCTGGCTGCAGAGAGGCCTTCCTTGAATACAGACTCGCCCTCCCTCAAGTAGATTTTGTCTGATTCCCGCCCCCGCCCCAAGCCCCCCAGCCTATAAAATGACAGCTAATATTCAGAAACTAGGTTTGGGAGGGGGCCAGGACCCATTCATAAGAACTGCTGGGTATCATTTCTTCCCTCGCCTCCCTCCCCCATCTCCCTGAACTGTGGCTGCCTCTGGGGTGGAGCGAGCAAGTGCGCCTCCACGTTTTGATGCCTTCTCAGAATTGAACTTTCGGGGGCCCTGCTTTGGACCCAGGTTATGAGGTGTGTCCTCGCACAGAGAGCCAAGAGCACGTGGGGGTGGCATGGGCCTCCAGGGCGAGCTTGGCCCTCTGAGCACAGCCTGCCCCCAGGACGGACACCGTGATAGACTGAAGAGCTGGCTGGCCCTGGGCCTGGGGTGGCTCCTGCCCCTGAATCCCAGGCCAGGGGGCTTGTCCTAGCTCATGGGAACTGGTGGGTGGTTGGAGCTGCTCGTTTGCCAGTTTGGTGGAATATTTGCTGAACACCTACTGTGTGTCAGGCATGGCAATCAGAACGGATTAAGAAGTTGGGTTTCGTCCGGAGAAGAGACAGGCCCATTTCAGTCACTTTATTAGAACAGCTGGATAGCAGTGGGTGGGATGTACATTGGACGAGAGTGCCAGGGCGAGTCCTAGATTGCAGACCAGGCGGGGGGATCCCAGCAGGCCTCTTGGAGGAGGTGTCCTGCCACCTGCGTCTTGCAGGGTGAGCGCAGTAACTTGGGAGTTGAGTCAAGGCTTGACCATGAGCTGAAACAAAGGGTTACTGAGTCATGAGTTAAGCGGTAATTTCCTTGGTGCTCGTTTCTGAAGGTGCATCACAAATTTCGTGTCCCCGTCCGCTCCGCTTCCTTACCTGTTGGTAGGGAAGGTGTCCCTGTGTGGGCTCTGCACCTTGACCTTCACACTGGGAGACCCTGGGCTGAGCAAGAGCGCTCAGGTTCCCGATAACAGGCACGGGCCCTGGGAGAGGGCGTTTGGCCTGGAGGCAGGGGCGCAGGCCCCAGAGCCGGGCACTCCGTGGACTGGCCGTGCGAAGATTCGGGTGAGGCCAGGTATCACCCCTGGGCCATCGGCATGTGTCCCCAGCATTAACTTAAGGGCTGGAGAAGCTGGGGCTTTATCATGATAGGTCCTAGAAGTGCGGCAGTGCTCGCTCCAGGCTGCCCGACTTAAACTCTCCTGACACCTGGGAGGCAGGTGCTGCCCCCAGGGAGGGAGGCGCTTGCGGTGGCCCCGCCCACCTCCCCTGTCCCGAGGCCGCCTCGGGCTGTGTCCCCTGTAGACCTGGCTGGACCTCCTTCCCTCTGACCACTTCCCTCCTGTGCAGTGAGCATGACCTGGGGGAGGACATCTACGACTGCGTCCCGTGCGAGGATGAAGGGGACGATATCTACGAGGACATCATCAAGGTGGAGGTGCAGCAGCCCATGGTAAGCTGCCCGCAGGGACGGTTCGGTTGGCAGAGGGACCTGGACCTTTCTTCAAAAACTCTGAGCCGACCCCAATTCTGAGCCACCGAGGGGGAGCTGCTGCCGTGCAGAGGGGGCTCCAGAAGCTGCACCCCGTCCTCCCCTTCCTGGGGCCCAGTCTGTTGCGGGCCCTTCTTCCCTGTGAAATGTTCCGAGGAGACTGGCAGGTGACACTGCTGCCACCTTCCTTCCAGGATGCGTTGCTATGGAATTCTCGGAGGCTGTGAGGACTCTGAGCCTTCACCGCCTGGGGAGCAGTCGCTCGGTGCTCAGTCTTGTCCAGGCCTTTCTACCCCTTTGTGCAGCGTGATGAGGCCGCTGTTGGCTCAATTAGCCAGCTGTGTGTCTTTTATGTGGCGACGGTATTTATTCCCGAGCAGGCTTTGGTGAATAATCTCTCGGACGCCAGTTGGCTGCAGTATGGGTTTATTGCCAGCAGCTGCTGTGTGGAAGGTGGGGGTCCTGCGGGGCTGAGCCAGGGAGATGGGGACCTGCCGGGGCGGGCCCCCAAACTCTGCGGGGTGGTCAAGTTGCCACTTGCCAATGGTGGAGGCTTTTGATACCATTTGCTTTCACCCAAGAAATGGGGGAAGTTCTCATAAAGTAAATTTTAGTGTCGTCCGTCAGTAGTTGTCGGGGGGTAACCAGCTGGTGGTAGGAAACAAAAAGCTGAGAAGCAGCCCCCCGATGAGGCCTTTCAGGGGCCTTTCCCACCTCGATGGCGCCTGTTGCCTCCTCCAGCAGCGCGTGGCAGAGCCGCGGACATGCTGGGCAGTGGCGCTTCCAGCCCCCAAACTCTGCTCCTCATTTTGCCCCCGAAGGGTCTAAAGGTGGGTTTCCTTCCCCACAGTCATCAGGGGTCTTGCCCTGGAGAGTCAGCTGTGGGTCTGCGACAGCAGGTCTGCCCGTGGCTAATCTGCCCCCCACCTGGCAGACATCCGTGCCTCGCCTCCCTGGAGCTGGCCCGAAGGCCCGGCTAGCCTCTGGATGTGGCGGCAAACTGAGACAGGGCCACCTTCACCCTCAAGCTCTTTGGAAGCTGGGTGTCCTCTGGGTAAAGCAAGAGTGGTGGCCTGTGGTTACCTGAGGGGTCCCCCACCCCCAGGCCATACAAGCTCCCGAGAGACCCTCATCTGTGCCCCGCCTGCAGAGGCCCTAGAGTGGGCACTCCCCAGAGACCGCTGCTGTCCCTGGTCCTGAAGTGCACGTGACAGGACCTGAGGGGGCTGGGGCAGATGCCCGCCTGTGTCCTGGTGCGCCACCTGCCCGGCTCTGCTCAGTGTCCTGACGCTTGGCGTTGGTGCTCACAAGTGTGTTCCAGGCAGAGCGGGCCTCCTGCCACGTCCTCTGAGATAAAACAGCTGCTTTTATTTCATCCCCTGTCATGTCGGGAGCTACCTGAACAGTCTTAGTGGAAGGTAATGGGGATGTGACTTCTGCAAAGGCAGATAAAGCCAGAAGACGGCAGGTGTCACTCTCAGAGCCCAGATGTGGGGGAGGCTGGTGACGTGCTGGGTCCCAGTGCTTCCCCGCACACCCAGCCCACAAGGGCAGGTGCGGGGCTGTGATGTGACCCCCGCTGTTGTGTGAATGCACACGAGCATCCCTGACTTCACCACGCACAGCTTGAATCACAAGCCGACGCTGCTAACTGGTTCTTTCTGTCGTTTGTTTCCCCACGCTTTCAGATTAGATACATGCAGGTGAGTGGCCATGGGGAGGCCGGGTAAGTGCTGCCAGCTCCCTCTCCTCCACCTCTCTGCAAGGCCTCACACCTCTTTGGAAAAACTTGGACCCCTGTCCCCAGGGAGACATTGTCAGATACCATTTTTACATCGTTTTCGGGGCATCATGGACCCCCAGCGTGCCCGGGAAGCCCTAAGAGTAACAGTGCGGCTCCCAGGCTGAGCAGGGCTGTGGGCCTGTGTAGGAGCCTTGGGGGGGCTGCCGCTGACCCGGCCCTTGGGGCATGTGCCCCGTGTTGCTTTGTAGAGCTGCGGCCCTGGCAGATGCAAGCAGGGCCCTGGGTCATTTCCTGGAGAAGGAGGTAGAGTTGGAGGAGGATGGTACGGCAGCTATGAGTCCAGATGTCATGTCATTTGTCCCAGCTCCGTTCCCCCAGACCCTTACTTGCAGGCAGCTGTGGCTCAGCCTGAAAGGATTTCAGGAGAGTGACTGTCTCTGAGTGACTAACCCCTCCACCACCCCCTTTCCCACACAGTCTCTTGGTCAGTCCCACCCCTGGCCATGTTCCCCTAGAGGTGAGGTGGGAGGCAGGCCCTGCCACAGATGCGTGTTGCCCAGTGACCCCTGCCAGTGGGCTGTTTCAGGACGCTGGTTGGAGGCAGGTGGACATTCGGAAAGCCCAGCCCTGCGAGGAACTGCTGTCTCTCTCTGAGACACTAATGGGACAGGTGCTTAGTTGGTCCTCAGGGAGCTGGTCAGAGCCTCTCCTTGTGTACACAGTAGGCGTTTTAAGCATGTCACACCTGATGATAATGCTGGACGGGGTGGCTTCTGAGGATGTTACCCTGGTCTGGAAGCCTCCATTGTCACCAGTTCCATGTTCATACCACATCCTCTCCCTGTGCCTCAGCTGCAAAAGGGAGGGGAAGGACTTGGGACCCTTGTGTCTCCCATCTGGCCCCACCGTTTCATACTCGGCGATCCCACGGCCAAGCCCAGGAGGTTGGCAGGCCTGGCGGGGATCCTGGTTTATGTTGCGTGTTCATCCTCTAGAAAATGGGCATGACCGAGGATGACAAGAGGAACTGCTGCTTGCTGGAGATTCAGGAGACCGAGGCCAAGTACTACCGGACCCTGGAGGACATCGAGAAGGTGGGCCGGGCTTCGGCCCTTTTCTGATGGCCACTGGGTCCATTGTATGGCCCCCAGTCCACCCTGGGGGAGACTTAGGGCAGTGGTGATGGATGGCGGTACTTGGTGGCCCTCTCAGCTTTGCCATCAGGCACCCCCACCAAAAACAGAGGTTGCCCTCACCTTTCCTCTGCTGCCTTCTCGCCCTCTGTCCCCCACTCGAGCCACGGGCCCTGGCCAGGCTGGTGTCCTCGTTGGCCACCCCACTGCCCCTGTTCCCACCTCAGTTCGGGCCCCTGACTATCCTGGACTTGTCTGTGGCTCCTTCCAGGCTGAACTGGGCGTCCTAATGGCTTCTGCTCTGAATGCACTCAGCTAAGCCTTTTATGTATGCCCTCTCACAGAGCTAAGCTCCTTATGTAT